TTTTAAAATATATTTAAAAATATTTTTTTCTTCATATTCTGTAGGGACGTAAAGGTTAACATATCAATACTTGATGGCAAATAACTGTTCCATGTTATGCCTAAGATGTTTGATATTTTAAACAGTGAGGTTAAGCTCAACTGCCTAGGTTGTCAGGTAATAACAATAAGCTTCTCTTTTGGAGGGTTAAAAACCTAAGTTTGCAGACCAAAAGTTAGGGAAAAAGAAGGACTATAAGGACAGCCAACATTTTGGCCCTAGCCTTTCTAGGTCAGTGAAGAGCCAGGACATAGGAGAATCTATACTGTAACATCTTGTAACTTAGTTGTGTCCCAAATTTTCTGATCCTGGAGATTATGGGGCCACAGAGGAAAGTGATCAATGATGTAGAGTATGCCTAAGGAGTCACATGGAGAGAAAATATTCTCTCAGGCTTTCACAGAGAGCCAATTGGTCAAGCAATGGCCATGACTCATCCACTTTGGCTGACACTGAGAAAGGATCTACAAAATGTGGTACAGGGTTTCAGGATAAATCTTGAGGGGATTTGACTGACTTACCAGATACAAAAGTTACATTTCTTGCTATATGAGTGTTGCTTTATTTTGGTCTTAAACATCCAGCAGAAAAGTACAAAAACAATGTATAAAAAGTAAAGACATATTAATATGCTGAGCTGTCAGTGATGTAGAGTATGCCTAAGGAGAGTCACATGGAGAGAAAACATTCTCTCAGGCTTTCACAGAGAACAAATTGGTCAAGCAATGGCCATGACTCATCCACTTTGGCAGTCAGCAAATTCTGACATTGCCAGTCTTATGGAAAACCCACTATTACTATGCAGTACTGGGCTATATTGGAATATTTTGCTGAATTCACACACCTATAAGATTTAAATGACAATGGAAGACCCTTCTGTGACAAAACTAAACAAAAAAAGGGGATACAAATGAACCACCATTTTGTATCTGTATATTCAAAATGGTTAGGATAGATATACACCTATATTCTCTTAATTCGATGAACAGAAAGGTTTGCTCTCATAGTGTTTGTGGACAGGATACCGTGTCTGCATCTTGTACAATGAATAACTACTAAGACAACAATAGGCCATGTATTAATTATTGAAAATGTCCTTCTAATCGGTTTTGAAACTGTCTCATTGCTATTTCTCCATGAAATTATTTAAAAAAGGTATAAAATCTGATACAAATTATAAACCAGAAACCAGTGGTAATGAATTTTAAACACAGAAAATTTTAAATGCAGAGAAAACAAGAATGTATTAATTTATTATTTAAATTTAAAGTAAATCAATTAATGCTATGAAGGAATAGATAAATCCTATTCTATGTCAAGCTGTCCACAATAACATGGTTCCCTAGTCAACTATATACAGCTGAATTACTTTTTTTTAGTTACTTTGATAAAAAATAAAGATGTGA